GTTCACACCCTAGACATCTGAAAATTCTTTCAATTAACTGCACATAATTTATTAAAATCAAATTTATCATAATCCTTTTAAGAGTGTGAGTTTGGATAAATCTTTCCAATATCAACATTACCGTTGACCCTGTTGACTTTTTTGTATATGTTTAAAATCCAAACAATTTGTACATGTACATAAACACACATATAGCAAATAGATACTTAATAAAACTTAACTAAGGAGTAAATTTTTCCATGGTCAAGATATAGAAAATATATACTTAATAAAAACTAACTAATGACACCTAACCAAAATTAAAACTAAAAAAGTGTATATATTAGTTTTTTATAAAAATAAAATCCTCAAGAAATTAAAAAAAACAATCACTAAAGAAAAAAATAAAATAAATCCGAAAATATTAAATTATTAAATAAATAAATGAGTGCATAGAAAATAAATAAATTTAGTTGAAACACCAATAAAAAAAATTAATGTCCATAACAAGGGTTTGAAATAACAAAATAGTCCAATCACCCAACAAAAATTTATATACATGACCAAATTCAAAATAAATCGGAAGTGTGGGCTTTTGTTGAGGATTACTCTATCACACTAATGAAATCTCTAGCAAATGTGTATTTGTTCATCATGAACAGAACCATAAGAAAAAGAGTATGATCACCAGAAATTTATCTTGATATTTTTGTGCTTCTTCCAATCACAAAATATGAATACGAGAAATGTAAGAGTATCTGACTATGAAGTTTTTATCAACACAGTATATGCATAAAATTGATATTTGAGCAGAAATCATCAAGAAGTTGGAGGAATATTTCACATGAATAAAAAGAACTTAGAGGGATATGGGATCTATATATCTAGGTTTTTAAATTGACATAATCCCACAATATCATAATTACACGTGATATTAATTTACTAGTCACAACTGAACTTCTCTCCCTTTAGCTGCACAAGCACATCTATATACTTGCAAAATACTCAAGAAAATACACAAAGACTACAGCTACAGATTTAAACTGCAATCAACTTTACAGTCAGATGACAGATTACTCCCCAACTTCTGCAACTGAACACAATAAAAAGGAGTGTATCATAAATTTTCGGCAAAGATTGAGAAACACAGCTAACTTTAACAAGATGATCTCAAGTAAATTCCTGATCCTACAACAATTTTAAAAAAAATCACATTGCTCCTCAATATCTCAATCATCACAAGCTAACTTTGACCTAATTATCCACATGCAATCATCTCAATAACTTGTTGACAAATCTGAAATCAATTCTCTATCTACCAACACCTCCTCATCTACATATAACTATGAGCCAACTAAAAATAAAGCCCTATGCTAAAAAACCCCTCAGAAAAAGGAAAAAAAGTAATAAAAAAATTTATACAAATAATTTTACTGATGCTTTCTTTGTTCCTATCAATTAATTTTAGTGGGGGTCAATCACTAAAATAGTACTGAATTGGCAGATTTTGTTTAATTTATTGTAATTTTGCTTCTTATATTGAATCCTTCCTTCTTAAAATTTGTACTAAAAAAACTTCAATTTGTTTATTTTAGAGGTTTATTAGATAATATTAAACCCTATGAATTATAGATTTGGTGTTGCTATTGATGATTACTGTACTAGCAGGTTGTATGAGATCAAATTTGTCAATCTAGTTACCATAACCATGCATATATCATCTTATACCCCTTGAGAACAGTTTATCTAGGTATTGGAATTCCTATATCTCAAGACTAATAGACGCATGTTG